TTGACATTTCAATCAGCCAATTAGCTGCAGTCATTGTTCGGGTATTCTGACAACAGCACACCCTCCTGTCAGAGTACAATAACCCGGCAGGGGGTAATGGGGATGCTGGAACTGAGCGTTTTTTCTCATTCAGCCTTGCAGGGTGTATTTATAAAAATGTGCAGAGCTATTAAGTTTTGCAGAGCATTATGGCCACTAGATGGATATGCATAGGCATTTCCTACCCAGTTCCATCTAGTGACCATATTGCTCTGCGAATCTGAAACTCAAACCCTACAAATGTTTTATGAATAGACTCTTAAGTGTAGGGTAAGCATAATTCTCTCTCTCTTTATCACTTCCCCTCTTCCTCATTCTTTCTTTTTTCCCCTTTCTCTCTTCCTCATGTCTTTTTTCTCTCCTTCTCTCTCTCCTTCTCCGCCTCTCCCGCTTCTGTGTCTCTCTCTATCCCCTTCTTCCATCTTCTTCTCTCTCCATTTCTTTTTATAACCCCTCTCCCTCTATCCTGCTCTCTCGCTTTCCCTATCCCTCGCTCTCTCTTTTGCTCCCCCCCCCTCTTACTCTCTCTCTCCCCCACTTTTTTCTGTTTTCTTTTGTCTCCCCCTTTCCCTACCCCCTGCCATTCTCTCTCCACCTTTTCTGCCTCTCTCTATCCCCTTCTTTCACCTCCTGTTCTCTCTCTCTCTTTTTTTATATGACCCCTCTCTTGCTCTCTCCTTCCCTATCACTCCTCTCTTTATTATTATTATTATACAGGATTTATATAGCGCCAACAATTTGCGCAGCGATTTACAATATAAGGAAGACATTACAATCACAATACAATTCAAGACAAGATGGTAAGGAGGGCCCTGCCCCTGAGGGCTTTTTATTACCCCCAACTCTTCCTCTTTCCCCCCTCTTTTTTTCTCTCTCTCTCTGTTTCCCCCTTTCTCTTCCCCTTCCATTCTCTCTCTCTCCCTTTCTCTTCCCCTTTTCTGCCTCTCTCTCTATCCCCTTCTTCCATCTCTTCTTCCTCTCTTTGTTTCTATCACCCCTCTCTCCTGATCTCTTGTTCCCTATCACTCCCTCTCTCTTTTGCTCCCCCCCCCTCTTATTCTCTCTCCCACTCTGTTTTTCTCTCTGTCTCCCCGTTTATCTACCCCCTGCCGTTCTCTCTCTCGCTTTCTCCCCCCCTTTTCTGTCTCTCTTTCTCTATCCCCTTCTTCCACCTTCTGTTTCTCTTTTTTTCTATGACCTCTCTCCTGCTCTCTCTTTCCCTATCACTTCCTCTCCCCTCTCTCTCTCTCTGCCTTTTGTTTCTGATTACCGCCCTCTACACATCATGTCTGACATCACTGATAGTCACAAGTGCCATGACCAAGTGCAAAGGTGACTATTTCAGAGGTGCTTGTTACATCATTCTGTTTTGAAGTCGTTAGCTTCTTAACCTTTTCTAACAGCTGCCTGCTGAACCTCTAATAGCCCCCCCTGTTGGCTTCATTCATAACGCATATTGCTGTAACCAATGGCCACCAAACTCACAGTGATCTAACTTTAGTAAATTAAGATCTGACTGGTTGCTTTGAGATATTTCACTTTTAATAGCATCTTTGTTCTTTGCACTTATTAATAGTGCTGTCCTTCTGGTCCGAGGCTCTTGGATAAAACTTCGTCATAAGTTTTGTTGTATCCGTGGCCTTTCTCTGGCGCACACTGCCATTTCCGTATTTGTAACTCTCTGATTAGCCTGTGATTGTAATTTCCCACAAGGCCACAGTGCTATATTCAGAGATATTGCCATCTGATGGCGGCTGTTTGGCATGTGGCTGGGGAAGCCGTAAATCTTCTCCACTATTTAAATATGACCAGAGAGCAAACGGCAACAAGATCTTGTTTACTTTAAGGAACATTCAGGAAGAAATTGAATGCGGAGGTTATGTCAGGGGCTGAGCCGGATTTCCAGGTAACTGAAGTCAGGTTTATTTATGGATGGTTATTGGAAAAGGTTGTTACTGATTCACAAAGCCTGTGATTGTCAGAATATAGTGAGACGAACTTATAACACCATACTTTTCACTATTTATTTATTTTACTATTTCCTATAGCACTTATAGCCCCAGGCCGATATAAAAGACCCAAATTAATACATCATTCATTTTTATTTTAGTTAAAAGAAATGTAAAGCCGTTCCTGTTTTTTTTTTTTGGGGTGGGGGGCTATATTTCTCTTTTGGGTCACAGGAGTACATATATCAATGTACTCCTGCCACCCAAAAGGCAGTTGATAGCCTGTAGGCTGACAGTGCTAAGCTGCACAATTCTCGATAAGGATTTTACAATATTGTAATAGCTACGAGGTAACCCACCCACCCCAACCCCTCCTATGCCTGTAGCTCCAGCCACCGCTGGAGGAAAGGAGAGCAGTGTGGGATGCAGTGATTGACAGTTGCTGTCCTCAGCTGGGAGCAAAGATTACACCTGACATCATCCGTCACGTGATTGGTCAGCTCTTAAGGTGGCCATACACTTTACAACCCTCGCAAGACTTTTGTCTTGCGAGGGTTGTAAAGTAATTAAAAAAACTTACAATCTCCCATCTTGGACAGGCAGATCGTACTTGCGATCATCGCAAGCCCGCCCCCCTGAGGGGCGGGCTTCCGATGACTGCAATGAGGGGCAGGCTTCCGATGACTGCAAAGAGGGGCAGGCTTCCGATGACTGCAATGAGGAGCAGGCTTCCGATGACTGCAAACGGGGCAGTGTGCGTGTGCGCACACCGTCCCGTTCGGCAGTTGTTGAACAAACAGGCCACTAACTCGCAGAGAATCGTACGATTCTCGGCAGGTTTTCTAGCATGCTGGTTCGACTGAAGACGTGCGACCGTACAGTAGAAACGGTCACACACCTTCCATACACTTTGTGATTATCGTACGATCGTGGCATTTCCCGTGGGCACCTTTTAGAGTCGATGTGGAACAGCAGCGTCACAAGGACTTCTCCTTTGGAGCCCAATAACACCAGAAGCATTGGGGCTGAGCTGGTCAATTTTTCCAGCACAGCCGCAATGCATAGG